ATTTGTTCTCCATACACCCGCATTTTGTTAGCAACTAACATAACTCGAGCAAAATAATTAGTAATGCTCTTAGTCATCTTCATCTCCAGAGTTTCAAAATCCCTCCTTAGTGCTTGAAGAATCGAGTGCTTCACCCTAGCATTGCCTTCGTATTTCTTCTTCATCGAGTCCTAGATCTTCTTTGAGGTGTCCTTTTCCAATATAGTCTCCAGAATGGTTCTGTTGCTTGCTTGGAAAAAAGATAGTTCTTCACCTTTAGATCCTTCAGCTTCAGCTCCTCATGCTTCTTCTGTTGTGCCTCTGTCACAACTGCACCTGCCTCTTGTTCACCTTTAGTCAAAGTAGTATTTGACGAGGATTCTTATGGCTTGTTTGGTAGGATAGATAAAAAAAATTGAAGAATAAAAAGTTAATCCATACTTTTTCATCATTTTTATTTTTCTTTCTTACTAAACATGATTTTAATTTATCCCTCCAATTTTTTATTCTTTCAACTTTTCATTCTACTAAATAAGCATTACTCTTATGCTCCGTTTGGTATAATGAAAAACTGGAATGATGAAAAATTATAGGGATAATTAAAACATCATGTTTGGTAAAGAAATAAAATAGGAATGATGAAAAAGTGGATGAATTAACTTTCCTTACAACTCACCAAAATCAATCCCTCCAAAATCAGAAGAAAAATTGATAAAAAGTTAATTATTTGTGTTGAGATGTATTTAATTTGTCAATATATCTTTTGATATATCCATATATTATGTATACATTAATTTCATAGAAAAATACAATAATAAAATATGTATATATATATATATATATATTTAAAAAAATTAAAAATTAAAAATTTAAATTAAAAATATTTTTTCCATCTTAATTAAAAATTCAGATTTATTTTTTAATTAAAAATAGATCAACACGAATACAAACACAAACACGATATGAAAATAAACAGGTCAACTCGCAACTCGATACGACATAATTAGTTAATTGAATTGAGTTAGGTTTGACTAATGTTCGATACAAACTCGTAATAATTCAAAACGAATCTGACACGACACAACTCGATTATCACTCATAATTTTAACAAGTACAAAAAAAATATTAGTCATTTTTATTTTTCATCTATCCAACCAAAAACAAAAAAAAACAAAAATGTATCATTCCTACTTTTATTTCTTGAATGGTAGAAAGTGTATCTCTCTTATTTTTTATCCTCCATTCTTTTCATTCTTTCTATCAAACGAAACATTAGATTGAAGATAGAGATGTATCTGTCGGTTGGCCTAGTTGATATCATCACCAAAACTCCTCAATGTTCGGCATAATATTTAACTAGGACTATTATTCCTCGGTCGAACCATATTAGTGTAGGACTCATTTGGTGATATAGAAATACAAGTGGACAAGGGAGTTCGCAGTAGCTTGGTTGATGGTAAAGTGGCCGCTGGCCAACAAGGCCATGGGCACCTAACTAATAGTGTGTTCTACAAGAAAATTATTTTTTTTCATATTAAAAAAAATTAATTAAAATACGCATGACATGTATACTCCGACAGTAATTAAAAAAAAAATGATAACCTGGATGGCCTATGGTCCATCCCCATTTCATACATGCTGAAATGTCCTATCATCATGTATGCTAACACATAGCATGTAATGCATGATCAACAAACGGTTGCTTGGCACGCGGAGTTTATAATAGTAAAAGCACAAAAGTGCATTGTCAGTGGGTTGGCCAGGGCGTGAGCCGACATGGACTGTAGTAGTTGGGCCCACCAAATCGGCGCGAAAATATAGAGTGCGGCTTCTGGGACCCACTAGGCCCAGGTAGTTGGATTTGATACCGTGGTTCGCATTCATTGATCAGGAGAAAATTATAATACTAAAAAAAAAAATTATTCTCATTTTTTATAAATTTTATAGGTTGAAATTCAAGTTTATAATTTATTTATAACATATAAAAATATAAATTTTTAGTTCATATTATAAATTTATGATTTGGATTATAATTTTTAGGATTATTTTTTAATTTATAAATAATTTTTAAAAATTATAAATAATTGGCCAATTTAATAAAAATTTATAAAAAAAAATCGTAAAATTTGAGGTTGAAATTTTGTTATTGAGTACCGTAATCTCCTCCGATTAATTAATGAAAACGTCAAGGGGAATATTCGGCGCCGGCGGTAATGTGACGCAAATCTCGCCTTTTCTCTAGAATATTAAGGATGTGGACTTTAAGTGGGTCCCATGTGTTGATGATCTGACAATCAACGGCGATGGTACGTACTACTCTACTCTCACTGCAGGAGATTGCATACGTAACCAGGAGAGTGAAAATTTACAATTTGGCCCAGTTAATTTCGTCTTTCCCGGGGTCCAAGTCCAAATTCCAATGAACAGTTTAGCTGACCAAAATTTTCAATCAAAATTTCAATATGAGGTTCTAAATTGTGGGAAAGTTGTTATACGTAACAATCTTAGGCGCGGCTCGTGAAATTGATAGGAATTCAACATGTAATTTATCAAATTTGGGTATAATTTGAATGAGTTTGATTGATTAACGAAATAACTCAAAAAATTTATAAGATAAACGAATCAATTTCGTATTTAAATCATAAATTCATTTTAATTCGTTAATAGTGGCACTACACATTATATAAAAAAAAATATAAGTTTCTCGATCTGAACCTCACGCATGCTTCCCATCTCTCTGACTCACTCTCACCCATGCCTTTCCTTCACCTTCTCTGCAATTGCATCTCTCACACCTCTCATTTATAATGATAGTCCTCGGCCCTCATCTGTCATCTCTTTTCATCTCTCTCTCAGAATCTCATTGCGAGAATGACAAGTGATCAATCAAGTAACGTCTAGCCCTCCCCCTCTCCGCTTGAGTTGCAGAAATTAAGGCTTTTGATTTTTTTTTTTGTTATTTCTAAAATTAAGTTCTCTCTGGTCAATTCTCTTATTTAATAAATAACACGCGAGTTGTACTATGTAACTTACCTAATAAATCAATCGTGTATGAGTGTGATAGTTTAACTGTTTATATAAACGAATGGAATATGAATGAATAATTTTTTGAACACAAAATTGTTCCACCTGACATAATTTGCAGGCCTAAAAGTTTTGCAGCGAATAGAGAACCTCACCGTATTTCGATGAGTGATGTTGTTTAGAACTAGTTTATTGATCTATTTTATTGACTTAATTTATTATATTGCTTAGATTAACTATGGACCCTAATAAACATTAAAATTTGATATTAATCTAACGGTTGTGATAAAACTATATCTTTAAATCAAGAAATTTTATCATATTTTTAGGTGTAAATAGTATTACTCATACTTAAATTGGTTATTTAGATTTTGCCTTACCTACAAATTTGTTTCCAGTTTTAGTCATTTTAGTATTTTTCTTTTCCAATGAAGAAAGTGTAGTAGTTGTAATTGCAATAATATTATTGTACCATGTCACTGTCATATCATTAGTTTAGCAAATTAGGTAAAATTTGTAAGTTCAAATAATTTTGTACAAAACGATGTTCAATTGTTCAATTGAACATTGATTCATGTTTCTGGGGTGTTGTTAAACGTGTGTAGAGGCTTGGAATGCATGGTCATGTTGTATGGATGTGGGTGGATGAATCCCTAGGTGGGTTTTGGGGTCAAGGAATTTGTTTATGGCCTCAGAATTGCAAAAGAATGAAGTTTGGTGGGTGAAAACTCAAGTTGCAGGTCTGGTCAAAATGAGTTTTGGCCCAACTTTGACCACAAATTCAAAGGGAGTGGTGAGGTGTTGATTTAAAAGGGCTTTTGGGTTTGGAACTAGGATGAAAGGGGAGTAGATTGGCGCTGGAATCATAGGATTTGGTGGGGTGTAGAGGAAGAATAAGAAAAGAGAATGAGGGGGTGTTGCCTGAAAATCAAGAAAAAGTCAGGATTTTCAAGAAAAAATAAGACGAAGAAGAAGAAAAATGAGGGGAGGAAGGCAGGGCAAAAATCACGTAAAATGATAATTTTGACTTTTGGGTTATAGTTTGACTTAGCGATGTAATTTTTAATCCAACCAACTTTAAAACTATGTTTAGTTGATTAAAATAATGTTACTCTTAAAATGTCCTTAAACTTTATTATTGTTCTATTTTTTATAGTTTAACAATCTAAAACACAAACCAAGGTAACGATTTCATTTTCAGAACACTCTTGAGTTTACCTTTTGAATTATACTTTATTAATATGTTCAAAATGTTATTTGGCATGTGATTCAAGGGTTCAAATCTTTGTGAAAGCTTCAATGCAGATAGGATTTGGGAAAAACTACCAAGTCTTATGATTGAATTGTTCGATAAATGTTAAAGTCTGGAATTTAATTTATGAAATATAAATACACACAAGATTAAATCGTAGAGGACTTCATTGAGTTCGTTAATGCCTAGCGGCTCCATTGGCTTTTGAGCTTAGATACCGAATTTGAATTTGAGAGAGTATTGGGGAGAAGTCTCTTAAAAAATTTAGATCATATGTTCGTATCGATCCTAAATAAAAATGTATTATTTTAGAATTGAGTTTATCTACTGAACTAGACCCTACTTTATTAAAAAAAAAAATTTTATGTCAACAAATTAGGTCTAAATAGCATCCTCAACAGCGGCGACTCAACAGCGCCGAACAACCCATTTGATGACAAGCCCAGCTACTACGTTCGCAATCTTGATTCATCGGGTAAGGCCGGACTGGACCTTGGGCATCTTCTAGGTGGCCCTTGAATCTGTGCATGACATTGACATAAAATTGATACGGAATTGACCGATTTAAATTTAGGCTTAACAACTTTAGGGGACTAAAAAAAAAACGAGCTCAATAAACTCGTCAAATAAAATGGTTGACACAAACTACATTGCCCTAGTAACCACTGGTCTGACTCGAATCCATCCGTCTCTAACTGGTTTAGACAACTAGATGATGCAAAGCGAGAAAATAATGAAAAAAACACAGAAAGAAAGAAAGAGTGATGGAGCTAATGGGTGACTCATTAGACAACTACAAAAAATCTAAGATGGCAACCTTAGTAAAACTAGAAAACAGCCACACTTCAAGTAAATGCTACACGGCACAAACAACGCATACAATATAAGAAATACGGACGATACATCTCTCGTTGGACTGAGATTCTTCACCTGCCTAATTTTCTCCAAGACTTTCTAAGTTCACTTCTCAAGATGTACATGAGGCTTCATAAAAGCACATTTCAACCGAAGATAAGAATAAACTACACTTTTCTGCAGTTTGGAAACGTGCCTAGACAATGTCAGTTCTAGACCAAATACAAATTCTGCAGCTGTTTTCAGTGTCCTCGACTTAGGTTGTTTCAATGGATCTTCGAGGAAAAGCCATCTTCAACGCAAGGAAGAGATAAAAGAAACTCTGCATCGAAATGACATGCTTGCTGCCCTAAGAAACTATCAAATCAAACGAGTATCATTATTTATCAACCTTGACAAAGAAGATGGGACTAAAGCATTTTGGGTTAAGCAAAATATAAGGCCAGAAGATCAGGGGAAAATGGAAGCAAACATACTTACATATCCCAACACAAAAGAATTATCCCAGCAAATACTCAACTCCTCAAACCTGCATGAAAAAGAATAATTTTCTCATCTTGCACATCGGAGGACCTAGAAGCTCAACTGCACTTGCAAATGCTTACTAGTTACGGATGAAACTCATTTTCTTAATCTCAGGCAAAGTGAGCTTGAAAGAAGGCAAAGAAACTTCAAGATAATAGCTAAAAACTACTGCAACAAGATCTTTTGGCGATTTATGTGGTGATGTGTTTTGAAAAGTGATAGAAAGACAAAAATTATTAAAAAATTAGTTGTCACAAAAAGCATAATGCTACCAACGCATACTTTCCATTTCAGTTCCATTCTTAAATGGCTGGAATGAAGTTGGAGTGCTCTAAAAGCAACTTGGATGTATAATCTGCAGATGACCACAAGTTTCTATGTCATTTTCAAGTTTTATAGCTTGAGAGATTGATCATTGGTTCTGCAACTTAATTTGATAGTACAATACGAATCCAAATGTTTCTTGACCCTAAGTCAACGTATCCAAAGTTTCGACTAACTAGGTGAAGTTACGATTCAAATAGACCATGTTATGCACAATGGGGTCAATTCAAGAGTGATCCCAAATTTTTGGACCGCATTGATCGATAACTTCGACCTCAACATTTCATGGCAGCATAGATTTTTCGCAGTCTACATTCCAGTTATATAGTTGAAATCAGTGTCAAGCACCACAATACAATATATCTAGTGGTTCTGACACCTGATGCACATTGAAAGGATGCTGATGTTCTCAATGATGCCTGATTCCCTTTCAATGTATGTAACATTAAAGCAAACAGTTGAATTTCAAAAGGCCTGAACCGTTTCTTACAAAACAAGAGTAAAAACTGATGTATAGTACTGTGATCCGATGATTTAAAGAATGAAAGCTCGCTGATAACATCTGTATTATTACCTATTTACCATTCGCATATTCAAGGAGGAGTCTATCAAGCTCAAAATGCCGGCAAAGAAGTTTCTGCAACACATAATCCACGGATGTAAATAACGAAGAGCATTATGTCATTTCAATTCTCAAGTATAATGTAGATATTGAGTCAAAGGTGCGTTGCAATAAAAAAATACTCAGGAATGCTATGTCCGACACATAACATAGAATCCCTGTGTAAAATAACACTGACATATTACAAGTGGACATGTAGTGGGCTTAACACAGAAAAAGTAAGTTGGCTTGTGGTTCTAATATATGGGAGAATTGTAGACTTTCAAATGACAAGAAGTTGCGATTCACTAGGTTTACAAAGCACCAAGTTGCAGAAAATCAGAAAACATGATCAACACTTCATTTAAGGATCTAGTAACCTCCATTATCTAGGCATTAAAGGGCTTCCTGGCGTCAAGCATCCATACTTATATCTCAAACACCAGTATGTAGGTTTTTACCATGTTTCTTTTTTGTCACTATTTTGGTTGCTATTCTACCACTTTCTCCTAAATACTTAATTTTGATAAGCGATGTTGCCATACCATGAAAACTTAGTGTAACCTTTCATGGATTTGCACCAGCCCGCGCGCGGGGGGTTTTGGGGGGGGGCGCTAACACTAGCATTTAAAAGTAGAAAAAAAAATAACAGGCCGGTCAACCGCTTTCCTTTTAATATTAAACTATCTTATTTTTGTGCATTTAATGTCATGGTACAAAGAATCGACTGAGATGGATACAAATCGGCTAAGTCCTACCCAAATATCCACTTTCCATACTTGTACTCTTCCATGTTCTGTGTATAGTACGGGTCTCTCTCGACTCGTGGTTTACACGAAATGGACTTGGCCCAGTCATCCAAGTCATCATCATTAACTCGCAGCATAGCTCCCATACTGTTTTGCAATGCTGCCATATGCTCTGGATTCCTTGGTATGTCCAACTTCTTCTTCTATCTATCATCCCACTAAGCAACACCCTGTTCTGAGGGCCAATACCATGACCTTGGACATGTGAAATGTCCACAACAATTCATGTACTTTCTCAGGGGTAGCGAGCTACAAATTGATTCATATAAAATACCAAGAGTGATTGAAAACTAGCTTTATGGATTGTAGTTTCATTGACAAACAAGTAGGAAATTTATGCAACAATGAAGGTATAAAATGCCAAGAGAGATTGAAAACTAGCTTTATAGATTGTAGTTTCATTGACAAACAAGTAGAAATTTATGCAACACTGACACCTTTATGCCATATAATTTGTAACGTGGAGAATACCTTTGTTATGGGAGTTTTGGATGCTTTTGTTTCGAAATCAGCCTCAGGAAAGCGTGCAACCTCTGCAGCATTCTCAAATAGTATATATGTTGGGAGTTGGTTTAGGCTTCCTGTCAAAAAGTGCCCAGATGGATCAATACATACATAAGTAAATATATACATACAAACATGAAGAAATCAGGTCAAAAGGAAAAAAACAACTAAGACAATGATGACTAGTTTACCAACCAAGAGAGATTCCAAATTTCCCTGCAGCATTTGGGAAGAGGCCAAGGTCAACTATCCCAAAAGATAAATTTCTGTTTGAGTATCTGTAATGAAAAAGAAAAAAAAACACAAGAATGCAACATAACCTTTACAGCTGATACGAGTAACAAGTTAAGTAACACAGGATTCCATTGGAGTGCTAATGCATCTTGAGGCATAATATAATACTCACGTAATTGACAGTTCAGGGAAACACGAACTGGTGCACACACAAGTAGACACAGACAAAGCACGAAATTCTACCTGTCATACTTGATTGTGTCAGTAATCCAGAACAAGAACAACAAAAGCTGAAACAGTCAAACATGATACCAAAATGTAGGATCAATTCACATGTCAACTCAATAAGCTTGGTCATTTATGCGCATTGGTGTAACTTGATATTCAGCCTTGCGGTTGGGCCAAATTGTAGAGCATGGAACAAGGGAAACTAGCAAAATCAATACACCTACGCGACCTCACTTATCCCAGTTGGCAAGACACTTGTCTGATGAACCAATTTCACCTACTACAATTTTCTTTTGGATGCACAAAAATCAATTTCATATTAAGTAGAATGTTGACCTTTTATGAGAATAATAATCCACAATATGCAATAGCAGACCAGTAATGCCTGTAAAGGATGGAGCCAGGACTTTTGCGCAGTGCGATCAATAAAAGTTCCACAGAATTGTAAATCCTTCTTTCACGAGGCCAACCCACAAATATAGTGTCCGAGTTATTGATAAAAGTTCACCACAAATATAAAGAATCCTTTCCCAACAAGTAGCTATTTCCTTTTTTGGTCTATTATTTATTTAAATCGAAAACAAAAACAACTTAAGGTTTGGTCACCTTAACCAAATTAGTCACTATCTTTGATGAATATTGGATTGTACACTTGATATTAGAACTGACTATAGGTCTGCAGAACCAACCAGCCAATATCTTGACATATTCCCTTCGGTAAGCAAAGCTTCCAGTTGCAGTGGTGTTAAGTGATTTGAAGAACCTAGAGGAGTCAATTAGAGAAAAGGAGACCAATCAACCAATATAAGAAGATAAAAGTAATAATAATTCCAGAGTTACGATCTTATTATGAAGTTTGCTATCGTAAATCTTGGTATGAGACAACAAAAAAACATCGCAAAGAACATGAAAAAGTACATTTTTTTTCCTTTTTCATACATTCATCCATACCTAGATCTTGATAGGCAGGTTCTTGAGTTGAAACATATACAACTGTAAGGAAACCAACACAATAGAGATTGCATTAGGATCAAAATCACCGTACGTATCATCATCTGGCCAACTTTGTTTCCCCAAATATAATCCCAAGATCAGTGTCGGTGCTATATAATTAAGTGCACATCATTAATATACTTTCAAACAAGAAGTTTTTAGAAGTATAATGATATGGAAAACATGAAGAGAAAGCTAACCAAAATACAGGTAATCCTTTTTCATAATTAACAACCATAAAAAAACAGAAGAGAATGAAGTCTTACCAAGAAAAACCATTGTATACCAGAGAGCCAAGTGATAATCTGCGACTAAAGCAATGGCGACAAGGAAAATCTGAAAAAATAAAATCCAACATCATGTCAGAAGATAAAGAAGTACATAAATCAAGAAGTTAAAAAAAAAAAAAAAAAGGTAAAGCGAGTTAAGGAAGTTTCATGTGATAGGCAAAGAGACCTCTATAAGTGTTGAATATAAAATACAGAAATTGATCTAGTAAGGTTTTTTTCACACAATTCAACTAAACACTGTTTTTTAATAAGATAGAGAAAGTCACACAGTTCGGCTTGACTTAGCAAAGCCCCCAAATTTTGGTAAAGAGGACTCCTTTTTTTATTTTTGCTCAATGGCAAAACAGAATTCATGTAGCCAACCCCAAAAACATTGGGACAAGGCTTTGTTGAGTTGAGTTGAGGGCTTCTTTTTTATTTTCAATTTTATTGTTGATTAAGTAGCAGAGAGTTTCTGTGTCTTTCAATACTTTTTAACTTGAACCATATGAGCCCCAAAACAATAAGCAATGACCTGTTACAAGTTATGATGCAGTATAAATAATAGTAATTATAAATGTTTTCTTGTTTGGTTTCTCAGCTTTGTTATCAATAACCCTTCGTAAAGTACAGGCAAATTTTTTGGATGTTTGCAGATCTCATCTTGGTAAGGGGATATAAAATACTAAAGTGACCTCATTTTCTTTTATATTGTTATTGATATGTAAGTTTATGTATATTTATGTATTTGATTATACCATTTCTAGGTCATGTTGATTCCAGACTACCAAATAATGAATAGCATAAAGCTTGGTTGATCTATCATTTATAATTTTTATTTGGTTACCATAAAATTGGATTTCCCTCTGATAGCTATAGAATTTTCATTGCTTTTCTTTTCTGGTTTTGGGGGAAAGGGGACTAGACTTGGTTAATCTTTGCCAGCAAAACTCTGAACAAAAGCAAAAGAAATTGAGAAACTCTTGTCAACATGACATAGTAATTACAATGCCAATGAAATTAGATACTACAAAGTACTCCATGAGATTTTTTTTCGGTCTGCTCCATGAGAATGAAGTATCCTTTATGTTTTATACATTGATGTGACCACAGAACCTTCACTTCAACTATCTGACAATGAAGTTTTAATTACCCTCTGGAACATTCTTAGTTTTGCGTATCCTTAGGTCAACTGGTTTGTCGTCTAATGCATCTGCTATATTCTAACTTCATGTCTAACCATAGTTACACCTTATCAAATAATTTGCTATCAGTAAACAACATACTTCTTGGAGTCCACCCATGACCAACTGTACATGTCTAATGGAAAACCTTGACAGCTCCAATGCTAATTTCTTGCATTGGAAAACTCCATTTATTATAAAAGGAGCTTATCATATGTGGCTATGAGCCAATGATGAACGATGTGAAAGTTTTGCATGTCCTCTCAAAACTATAAATAGAGATCCTCCATAGTAGCCTTTATCGGATGTACTGGTAACAGGTAAGCCCCAAAGTTGTTCCTGTACCTACCTACCGGGGGATATGCCAACCATCTCTCCTCTATGAGCACCTCTCAAAACTACATTTTTAGTTGGCCAAGAACATTTTCCATATTTGATCTCCTTACGAAGCTAAGTGCTTTTGAAATGAGCTTCCTTAGCAATATGTCAAAGTAATTCTGCATACTTGTATATTATGCCATCGTCTGTACTCGATCACCATCCCCAGGTTACATAATTACATTTATGATTCTCAAGCTAATAGAGAACATAATAGGTAAACTTTTTGATACAATCAAAAAAAAAGTAGCAAATATATTTTATGTTTAATCTTACTGAAGAAAATGAGCAGCTAAGCCAAGTCGTCACGGGCCAGAACTATTACAGGACCAGGGGGCCCTGGCCCACCCTCAATTTTTTTTAAAAAAATATTACTTTTGTATATTTCAAATAATTTTAAGTATATTCAATCATGTCCACTCTATTATTTTTTATTTTATCAATTAGTATAGCCTCATATCTAAATAACTATGAATTTTTGGACGCAGTTTAAATCTTGTATGGATACGTCTATAGAAATTTTTGACAATTCAAACTCAATTTTTTAAGCTTTAGATATTATGACAACTACATTGCATAACTGAATGAGTGATGGTCATATAGAGAAAGACTATAATATTTTTTATGCAGGTCATCTCATATGTTGTGAAAGGTTGTAATTAGCCTCTTGTTTTCATTTGTTTTTGTGTTTACCAGTTATATTTATCAACATTTAACTTTTTTGTATTTTGTGAATCTTTAAGTATCAATACACTGCAGTACATTTGGATATATTATTCTATTTTTATTGATCTAAGTAAAGTGCCCACCCTAGATGACATTTCTGGCTCTGCCCTTGCATATGGTTACACTATTGTGAATATATTGGAAATATTGAAAGACTAACTAGTGATTAAAGACAGTTCCAGAAGTTTTTTAAGAAATAATGTAATTGCAAGGTTGCCTATATCAAAAATGATGGAAGTCTAGGTAAAAATAAAGGTCCAAAAGATATATTTTTGAGCATAAAATAAGAAAACAGTGAAATAATCAAACATGAGTGGTGAAGTGATTCTTTTTAGTGCACGAGATGGTAAGAAAACAAGCAAAGTTTTTAAAATATTGATGGGAAAAATAAAAAATTTGAAATGCACCTACAGGCAGCAAGGATAAGATGTATAGACTTTTGCTGAACTAAGAACATGCAAAAAAAAACAATCAATGTAGCAATGAAGGGATCACCTTTGCAAAAAACAGAGTATCTGTGATGAAGACCTCCCATGTTTCTTTTTTTACCACCTGTCAGAAAAATACAAGCAAGTTGATAAAACTAGAATAACCAACCACATAATAGCCAACGTGTTTGAACTATTCTGCACAGACTTTGCAGAAGTTCTAAATTCTGAGGTTTCTTCATCATCCATGAGGCAAGGATGTCATCCTCTAGTTTGTCACTGTAATTTTTCTGAGCTCTAAGTAAAAGCATATACAGGTAACAATATGTTCACAAACACTATGGTCAAATGACTTCTTGCCAATTGCTTTTGAAGACGCTCAGCAATTCTACTATGTTGAAAGGCAAGATCTTCTTGTTTCTGGTTCTAAGTTGGATAAAAATAATGTTTCACTCAAACCAACGAACCCTCATCCTCTTTGAGGTTTCCAAAAGGGATCCTTTACTTTACCATGTTCTTAACTTTCCACATTTCTCTTCTTTCTCTCTCCAAAATCAAAATTTTTAACATACATAAAAATGAAGTGAAAAAGAAATCCTACACTTCCCAAACACCCCTTAAGTTTTAATTCTGTGAGGTTTCTTTTCCCCATTTTCCAAGTAGACAAAAGATGCAACAACACTAATTTGTAGTGTAGAATGTAGAATAGTTATTATGTATGTACAAAGCTTCTGAGAATTAAAACACAAACTGGCCCATCTATGCGAAAAATTCTTTAACTATACCCATCCTTTACATCAATAAACTGGTAATTGTACTCTGAAACTAAAGCTACATAAACTCCAATAGTTCACAAATTTAGAATTAGTTATTTTTCTTTTTTCTTTTTTTTTCCTGGTAAGGAGTGGAATGATATAGAAATGATGGAAACAGGAAATTTTTTAGCGGAATACTAATACTAATGGACGTGTATATTTCAAAGAAAGATCTGTAAGAAGCATACCTTGACAACGGCCAACACAGAAAATGCAACAAGTGCTTGAATTTCCTACAAAATAAATACCCATCCACAAAGCATCAAACATGACTCAATTAACACAACAAGAACAACCAATTGAGAAATTATCTTATGCGACAGAAAATCAATTAAGTATTCAATCTAAAGGTGCGTATATCAGTAAGCAGCAGATTTATTTACTCAATCACATTGCCTATACAATACACCACAAGTGTAAGTGTGTGTGTGTGTGTGTGTGTGACAGAGAGAGAGAGAGAGAGAGAGAGAGATTACTCGGTGGAGAAGGTGGGAGGTGAATTGAGGAGAGAGGAATTGAGAAGCGGAGCAGCGAATAGGGATGTAGGAGAAGAAAGCGAGGAAATGGAACATGTAGTACGGCTCCGAGACCATTCGATTCAGCCATTTGAATGGCTTGTACAGTTGTTCGTCATAGCTACTCTTCTCTTCCATCTCTCTCTCTCTCTCTCGCTCGCTGTCTGATTTGTTGATCTGGTTCAACTTTCAAAAAGCTTCGTAGGCTACACCGTCAAAAATGATTTTATGAGAGTCTTGAGTCTAGGCTTCGCAACCGATCGGATTTGGATCTAAAATTCGTTCCGATGATCCAATGGTTGCTATTTTTATGATTATTTTGGGTTAACTGCATCGGAGGTCCTATGAAATTTTTTTTATTTTAGTCCCTAATAGTTTAATTACATCATTTTATTATCTGAAATATTGAATATTTATATAATAAAATAACTTACAATTCAAATTTTTAAAATAAATAAAATGAGTTTTATTTTTCACGATTCAGATTGCTTTAAATTTTATTTTAAAATTAATATAACGGCTAATATTAATACCCTAAATTTAATAAGAAAATAAGGTTCTAAGAGTGTGTTTAGAGTGATTTTTTAAAAGTACTTCTAATAATAATTTTCATAAGTATTTTAAAAAAAATAGTGTTTGAAATCGTTCATCACAACCTTATCACCACCATTACCTCTGCCACCACCACCGCAGTAGCCTACACCACCATCGCCACCGCCATTACCATTGCCGCCGTCATCACCGCCACCATCATCGCTGCTACCATCACCACCACTGTCGTCGCTACGGTTATTATCATCCATCATAATCATCACCGTCTCTTACCGCCACCACTGCTGCCTACCACTTCTTATCCTCACTACAACCGATACTTAAATTTATTTATCTCTTCTCTATGTTTGTGATTTGATTTTGAATATTAATACAAATATATTTATTGATTACTATTTTTTATTACTATGTACCTTCAGACACAAGCAATAACTAGTATTTTTATATGGTCCCTCAAGTAAATAGTGTCCAGATTGCTAATAATTTTTTATTATAAACTTGTTACATGATACGTAAATAAGGACAAAAATAATTTGGATAACTATTGACGAAATTTCAACTCAAATTTTGGTTAAATACTTACCTAAATTATATAATTTTAATCCTAAGCTATCTAAATTTTGGTCAAAAGTTACTCATATTACACATTTTTTTTGTAAAGAACTACTCAAATTTTGTTTAAAAGCTATCAAAATTAAATTTTTGTCTACATTTAGCTATTACGAAATAATTTTATAATAAAAAATTGTTAGCAATCTAGACACAAGATCATATAGAAACGTATTCAATAATTCAAGGACTAAAATGATACAAATGAAATATTAAATACTAAAATAAAATAAATCTTATACTTTAAAGATATTTATGCTCCGTTTGGTATGATGAAAAAATGGGAGGATGAAAATTTGGAAGGATGAAAAGTTTGAGAGATAAATAAAACATCATGTTTGGTAAAGAAGGAAAGAATGAATGATGGAAAAATAGATAGATTAATTTTTCTTATAATTCACCAAAATCAATCCCTCCAAAATGGGAAGGAAAGTAGATAAAAAGTTAATTATTTGTATTAAAATATATCTTATTTGTCTATATATCTTATATATACATTAATTTCATATAAAAATACAATTATAAAATATGTATATATATTTTAAAAAAATTTAAAATTTAATTTTAAAAAAATTAAAAATTAAAAAAATATTTTTTCTATTTTAAATAAAGTGAAAATTTTCGACTCAATATGATGACACGACTCAAACTCGATACAAAAATAAATAGGTTAACTCGCAACTCAACACGAAACAATTAGTTAAATGAATTAAGTTAAGTTTGACTAATATTCGACACAAACTCGTAATGATTCAACACGAATCTGACACGACACAACTCGACACTATTGTCACCCCTAATCTTAGCTAATAAAAAAAAATAGTCATTTTTATTTTCCATTCATCCAACAAAACACAAAAGAAATGAAGTGTATCCTTCCTACTTTCCATCCTTGAAGGATAAAAAATGTATCCCTCCTACTTTCCATCCTCCCTACCAAACGGAGCATTAGTGTAATTAACCCTTATGCTTGAATTCGCTAACAAGACCTAAACAACTTAATTTAAATAAAATTTAACAAGTTCCTCCAACTAAATTTCTTCAAATAATCACTTTTTTTTTTTATTTAATATATAAATATATATATTATAGATCGGATTGGAGTATATTGAAATATAAGTTAGTGAAATATAAGATAATAGATTTGAATTATCTGTAAAAATTCTCAATTCATATCCGATCAATCAAATCAAGTTCGGGTCGAAATCTAGTCCAGGCATAACTGACTTCCACTCACAGTTCTGTTATTTTTGTTTTTTGATGGGCCGGAAATAGTGAACAGGATAGTTGTACCACTTTGAGAACAGAATGGGTAATGCTCCTCAAACAACAAGGCCCATTTAAGCTGCATGGTTTTGGATCCACTCACGTTTCAAATTCTCCTAAACTTGCCAAATAGTTTATAAAAAATTACTTATCAAATTAATATGAATAATTAGATCAGTGAGTTTTATTAACTTTTTCGATAATACTTGGTGACCCCACCATTCGGATCATTTGTTAAGCAACTTTTGTTAAAGTATTCAGTACACACATCAATAATCTTCTAATTTTTTACATTTTTGGTACATGTTTAAACATGCGTCGTTAAAATTTATTAGGTCTTAACAAAATCTATCGAGTCCGGCTGATGGAATCCAATGAATTTGAACGACTTTCCATACATGTTTCTTCAATTTCTATCAATGACATATCACACATCATCAATTCATTCGATATTATATAATAGCGTCCACACTAATACACAATAAGATATTTACTATTGAGAAAAAAATAGTAGAAAACATATATGTCAGAAAGATCTAAAATTGGCACTTTTTATTAAATTTTCCCTCAAAATATTTTTTTCTTTTGGGAGAAAGAGAAAAATGGATCAAATGATCTATTAGGGTCTTCCATTTCTTTCATCTTCCCTCCACTTAATCTTCTCCTCGATCTAGTTAAAAACAAATCATCTATATTATGACTAGGATATTCATGAACAATAATTCTCTCATTGTCTAAACCCACAAGATTGTTAGAATTTGAACTCAGAATGTCTAAATTTATAACTCGTTCATATTATCACTTGAACTATTTTCGAGTTATCTTCCATTTCTTTTATCGTTCTTCCATTAGTGAATCTTAACTCCTCATTCCACTCCTTTCCTTTTCTTCCCAAATCATTCCACCCTAACATTTGTTCATGCTTTGATTTTGTGGAATAATGACCGATGTTGTGTGGCTTGGGTACCCTCAAAGGTCCAAAAGTTCAAAACAGGCCCAACTTTTCCAAACTACACACAATTTCTTTTTAACTTATAAGCCCACACTCCAACCAGATGTCTTGATATTTTCTTTTGTTCGAGTAGAAGAGCGGGTGCTATAGCAAAATTGATTATAAAATAAAAAAAATCGACTATATTAAAACTAATTTATGGGGAGATTCATTACTCATTCCCTGATTTGTTTGTTATTTCTTCTAATGATGTATAGACATCTCTCCTAATAAAGTCTTCCAAGCCGTGCATCTAGTACGACGACACCCATAACTTTTGGAACGAGTAATGAACAAAATCGGGCCCAAAGATTTTCAACACTAAGAAGACAATATTAATGAAAAAAAAACTACTTCCTAGATGTGTGACAGAATCTTATAAACACACGTCACTTGAAGATGTTGAATTTTAAAACTTACTGACACAAATTACCCTTATTTGGAATCCGATTTTATATGTTTCGTTTTTTCACAATTTTTCTAGTTAACTAGCTAGTAGAATTTCTTACTTGAAACCAAAATTCTAATCAAACCAACCCTAATTGGGTAATTAGGGCAATTGGTCATTTGGATGGGGGGTACTTAAATAGACCTCGGGCCATAGGAGTGTAAAATTCAAATTGAGAAGAAGATAATGAGAGTGTAAATGAATTGAATCAAGTAGATTAGTAATTTCTTCAATTTGATTTCATTTAAGTAAAATTAACAGACTAGTTTCACTTTATTACACAAATCAATTTGAAACGAAGTTTTAAAAAAATCAAAATAAAAACTTTGGTTTATTTTACAAATCAAATTTGCAAGCAATCAATGGGAAAACAAAAGAATCGTCTGATAAAAATCACCCATGTTCGATTCTCATAGAGTCTATTGTTGATTTGTTTTTAACAATTTGATGAAATTGGAGTCAAACTATGATGTTAATTATCCTTAAGGTGTGTTTCTGGGTTGCAGGGTATACTGTCTAGACCCTTCTGGAGCACTATCCCAATGGGTTCGAGTTGTTATAGTCATGCTTGGATAAGATTTTCATGCTGATCGCCCTCTTGTAACCCTTTCTTATTTGGGGGTGAAAAAAAAAAAAAAAGGAGAAAGTTCGTCTCACGTGACTAGTCACAAGAGACATGCACGTGCGTTGCCCTCACTTCATGTGAGCAGACGCACATGCTTTCACGTTATCGTTAAGTAATAAAAACACTTAACCTTACGTAACTGAAGCATCAACGAAAAAAGCGTAAGCCCATTACTATCGCCACGTGTCATTGACCACCGTCAATTTCGCTTTCGACACGAGTTAAAGAACTCACATGGCTCGCTGACACACACCCTCAACCTCTATCATGTTGCCAATTTCGACTCAAAAAAAAAAAAAAAAAATCTATACTATTAAATATTTTTAAAGAAGATTAGTTGTTTGATGTCCTTGTCATGAAATATTTATATTCTCTAAACCACTATTAACCATCCACAATTTCTTATTTTTATTGATTTTTTTGGAAAAATTACACTCACCCCATGAGAAAATCATTTAGACCATTGACATTTAAAATATTACAAACAGACCCTCTGAAATTTATACGAACGTAATACTTAGACCTCTATTGTTAATATCTACTAGTATATCTATTAGTAAATTATATCTAAACTCCTTGAAATTTGTAGACGTGTAACACTTAAATTCTTTATTAGTTACAAAACTAACGGAATCTATTAAATGACCAAATTACCCAAATTAAAGAAAGAAGATAATATGTTCATTATAGTTTCACCATTTATTTAATTTTTTAGTTTTATTCCAATAAACAGTAAAATTATATACAAATGAGTGTTGAATTGAGTTTTTTG